CCATGTTGGCCAGGCTGGCCTCAAATTTTACCAGTTTCCCTCTCCAGAGTTGTCCAACACACAGCCAAAAAATGAATATGTGTTTTAACGCTGCCTTTCTTTTCTTCTTCTTCTTTTTCTTTTCCTTTTTTTTTTTTTTGAGACGGAGTTTCCTCTTGTTATGCAGGCTGGAGTGCAATGGCGCGATCTCGGCTCACTGCAACCTCCGCCTCCTGGGTTCAGGCAATTCTCCTTCCTCAGCCTCCTGAGTAGCTGGGATTACAGGCACACGCCACCATGCCCAGCTAATTTTTTGTATTTTTAGTAGAGACGGGGTTTCACCATGTTGACCAGGATGGTGAAACCCCATGTTGACCTGGATGGTCTCGATCTGTTGACCTCGTGATCCACCCACGTAGGCCTCCCAAAGTGCACAGGCTTGAGCCACCGCGCCCGGCACTCTTTTCTTCTTCTCTTTTCCCTCCCTCTCTCTCTTTCTTTCCCTCCTTCCTCCCTACACCCCACCCCCCACTCTTTCTTTCTTGGACCAGGTCTTTCTTTTTGAGACAAGGTGCCGGGTGCGGTGGCTCACGCCTGTAATCCCAGCACTTTGGGAGGCCTAAGTGGGTGGATCATCTGAGGTCAGGAGTTCAAGACCAGCCTGACCAACATGGAGAAACCCCGTCACTACTAAAAATACAAAACTTAGCTGGGCGTGGTGGCACATCCCTGTAATCCCAGCTACTCCGGAGGCTGAGGCAGGACAGTCACCTGAACCTGTGAGGCACAGGTTGCAGTGAGCAGAGACAGCACCACTGCACTCCAGCCTGGGCGACAAGAGTGAAACTACATCTCAAAAAAAAAAGAGACAACGTTGGCTAGGCTGGAGTGTAGTGGCACTATCATGGCTCACTGTGGCCTCTACCGCCTAAACTCAAGCAAGTTTCCCACCTCCCAAAGTGGTGGGATTACAAGCATGGGCCATTGCACACCTTTGGCGTCTTAAATGCCAGTGCAGACCAGGTGCCTCACACATTAGCTTTTTTTTTTTTTTTGTGATGGAGTCTTGCCCTGTTACCCAGGCTGGAGTGCAATGGCGAAATCTCAGTTCACTGCAACCTCTGCCTCCCAGATTCAAGTGATTCTCCTCCCTTAGCCTCCTGGGTAGCTAGGATTACAGGTATTCGCCACCACGTTTCTTTCATATCTTTAGTAGAGATGGGGTTTCACCATGTTGGCCAGGCTGGTCTTGAACTCCTGACCTCGTGGTCTGCCTGCCTCCGCCTCCCAAAGTGGTGAGAGAGTGGCTCACGCCCGTAATCCCAGCACTTTGGGAGGCCGAGGTGGGTGGATCACGAGGTCAAGAGATCGAGACCATCCTGGTCAACATGGTGAAACCCCATCTCTACTAAAAATACAAAAAATTAGCTGGGATGGTGGCGCATGCCTGTAATCCCAGCTACTCAGGAGGTTGAGGCAGGAGAATTGTCTGAACCCAGGAGGCGGAGGTTGCGGTGAGCCGAGATCACGCCATTGCACTCCAGCCTGGGTAACAAGAGTAAAACTCCATCTCAAAAAAAAGAAGTAGCAACCTCAATTTTTTCTCTTTATTTTTCTCAGATCATTTCCAAGCAGTCCATTGAAATAACATCTTTCCATATGTTATACCGGACTGAGCATAGAAAGTCAACACCAAGATAAAAGTATGCCAAATTGCAGGGTTTATTGCCGGCGGCCACGGAGAACTCCCATCTCTCCAACCCGTGGCAGAGAAAGAAGGGTGACAAGACCTTTTTATACCCGTAAAACCACCTTTGGAGTGGGGGTGAGGGGCTTCAGACATTCTGAGGGCTAGTGGATTCTGCAAATCACCTTCTGGGCGGAGATGAGGGTGAGGGGCGGGGATGGGGGTGAGGGGTTTCCGGACATTCCGAGGGCCGGGGACTCTTTGACATTCTGATTGTTACTTGAGTGGTTCACAAAAGCTAAGATTAGCATTCGTCTACACATTGTCTGGGTAGGGTGGGGATCACAGTCCTTAATTACTTATTCACATTTGGGTTATAGAGAGCAGTTTCAACAGAAAGCTGAGGTATGGTTGAGGTATGCAGTTTTATGGGGCTTTTTACTATGTCACACATAGAAACAGGAATACCGAGACATTGTTAGAAATTGCAGGATACTTTTAGGATTCTCTTACTCACCTCCAAAATTCCAGGGATACTGAGTTGAGTAGTTCTGTATTCCTTTGTGGTGGATTTGCATTTCAAAGGGATTTCATAGGACTATGATGCTTTAACCACCAAAATGATTAGATGGATTTTTGATCAATAGGGTCTGAGGTAGCTTGGTCTCTGGGTGGAGGATTTTATCTGTGGTGTCCCTAAGTCCAGGTGTTAGAGGGCCATTATCTCTTCTATTCCTCAGTGCTTGATGAGTTTGGGTAGTGTGAGTTGGTCCTTCAGAAAGGGATTCCCTCTGGCCCACAGAGCTGGGGACTGTACTGCAGACCGTGGTGGATTCCTAGGTTCAGCGTTTTGGAGCCTGCAAATGAAGCTGACAAGAGATAAACAAGAGACATGTTGGCAGGCAGGAATTTGCAGAAAAATGTAACTCAAGGAGGCAGTTAGAATTTGGGGTTATATACTACTGAATGCCATAGGGGAAAAAGTAATTAAAAAAAAACAATTTGGGGTTATATATTATTTTTTGTTCCTCCCCTCGCTTCCCACCCCCCCACCCCCCGCCGCCCTTTTTTCTGAGACGAAGTCCTGCTCTGTCGTCCAGGCTGGAGTGCAGTGGTGTGATCTCAGCTCACTGCAACCTCCGCCTCCTGGGTTTAAGTAATTCTCTTGCCTAAGCCTCCCGAGTAGCAGGGATTTCAGGCACAAATCCCTGTTGTTTTTTTTTGAGACAGAGTCTCGCTCTGTTGCCAGGCGCCAGGCTAGAGTGCAGTGGCACGATCTCGGCTCACTGCAACCTCCACCTCCCGGGTTCAAGCAATTCTCCTGTCTCAGCCTCCCCAGTAGCTGGGACTACAGGCGCACGCCACCACATCCAGCTAATTTTTGTATTTTTAGTAGAGACGGGGTTTCACCATGTTGGCCAGGATGGTCTCAATCCCTTGACCTGGTGATCCGCCCGCCTCAGCCTCCCAAAGTGCTGGGATTACAGGCTTGAGCCACCACGCCCGACCAATTTTTTTAAATTTTCATTAGAAACAGTGTTTCACCATGTTGGCAAGGCTAGTCTCAAACTCCTGACTTCAAGTGATCTGCCCACCTCCGCCTCTCAAAGTGCTGGGGATTACAGGCATGAGCCACCGTTCCCAGCCCATATATTATCTTAATATGAGAAGTAATGGGGAGAAAAGACACTTAGGGAAAACAAAGTATTTTTAGGAAAGATAAATGGGCTCTTAGTGAGAGGATCGCTTGAGCCCAGGATTTTGAGGTTGCAGTGAGCTCTGCTGGCACCATCGCACTCCAGCCTGGGAGAGGAAGCAAGACCCTGTCTCAAAACAAACAAACAAACAAACAAAAAAAGCCTTTAGGAGAATAAGTGGAGATACTTTTGTTACAATGTCTGTTGAGGTGATTTATTCTCCCCGCCACCTGTCCCCATGGAGTCTGCTCTGTCCCCTAGCCAGGCTGGAGTGCAGTGGTGCCATCTCCACTCACTGCAACCTCTGCCTCCTGGGTTCCAGTGATTCTCCTGCCTCAGCCTCTCAGGTAGCTGGGACTAATTTTGTATTTTTAGCAGAGACGGGGTTTCACCACATTGGCCACGCTGGTATCAAACTCGTGACCTCAGGTGATCCACCTGCCTTAGCCTCCCAAAGTGCTGGGATTACAGGTGTGAGCCGCCCCTCCCAGCCTAGGTGATTTCTTAACATTGTGCTGACTTTTCTGTCTTCCTGTTGCGAAACTCCAGGAAAGGATATTGAGGACAGCTGGATTCTTTTGGGAGGACCTGCTTTTAGATAAGAGATATTCAGTGGGGAAAAGAAGAACAACTTTGGGAGGGCTGAGGTGGAAGGATCATTTGAGCCCAGGAGGTGGAAGTTGAAGTGAGGCGTGATCATGCCACCTGGGCAAGAGTGGGACCCTGTCTCAAAACAAAACAAAACAACTCTACCAGTGATACAGATACACATCATTTATGATGGGGCTATGCCCTGATAAACCCATGGTAGGCTGAAAATATTGCTGAGCATGGTGGCTTGTGTCTGTAGTCCCAGCTACTCAGCAGGCGGAGGCAGGAGGATTGCTTGAGCCCAGAAGTTCAGGATGTTACTGCTGTATGCCAAGCAGGTGTTCACACTGAGTTTGGTATCAATATGGTGACCTCTCAGGAGCAGGGAACTACCAGATTACCTAAGGGGGAGTGAACTGTGATGGTCACTAGCAGTATGGAGCCCGAGCATAGCCACTGCACTCCAGCCTGGGCAACATAGCCAGACCCTGTCTCTAAAAAATAGAAAATATCCTAAGGCCAGGCGCAGTGGCTCACACCTGTAATCCCAGTACTTTGGGAGGCCAGGGCAGGCAGATCACTTAAGGTCAGGAGTTCAAGACTAGCCTGGCCAACATGGTGAAACCCTGTCTCTACTAAAAATACAAAAAATGAGCCTGGTGTGATGGCGGGTGCCTGTGATCCCAGCTACTCGGGAGGCTAAGGCAGAAGAATTGCTTGAACCTAGGAGGTGGAGGTTGCATTGAGCCGCGATTGTGCCATTGCACTCCAGCCTGGGCAACAGAGTGAGGCTCCATCTCAAAAAAATACATATCTTAAGTGGAAAATGCATTGAATATACCTAACCTACCAGCTGTCATCACTTAGCCTTGCCTGCCCTAAATGTGTTCAGAACACTGACGTCAGCCTATAATTGAGCAAAATCATTTGGCAGGCTGGGTGCAGAGGTCATGCTTGTAATCGCAGCACCGAGGCGAGAGGATTGTTCCAGAACAGCCTGGGCAACATAGTGAGACCCTGTTGCTATGAAAAAAAAGGAAGGAATGGTGCTCCCTTCGGCAGCACAGATACTAAAATTGGAATGATACAGAGAAGAGTAGCATGGCCCCTGCGCAAGGATGACACCAGTTTTTAAAGAATAATAAAAAAGGCTGGGCGCGGTGGCTCACGCCTGTAATCCCAGCACTTTGGGAGGCTGAGGCGGGTGGATCATGGGGTCAAGAGATCGAGACCATCCTGGTCAACAAGGTGAAACCCTGTCTCTACTAAAAATACAAAAAATGAGCCTGGTGTGATGGCGGGTGCCTGTGATCCCACCTACTCGGGAGGCTGAGGCAGGAGAATTGCTTGAACCCAGAAGGCGGAGGTTGCAGTGAGCCGAGATCGTGCCATTGCACTCCAGCCTGGGTAACAAGAGCGAAACTCCATCTCAAAAAAAAAAAAATAATAAATATAATAATAATAAAAAACAAAAAAGGAAGGAAGGGAGGGACGGAGGGAGGGAAGAAGGAAGGAAGAGAGGAAGGGAGGGGCTGGGTGGCTCAAGCCTATAATTAATTCCAGCACTTTGGGAGGCCCAGGTGGATGGATCGCTTGAGGTCAGGCGTTCTAGACCAGCCTGGCCAACATGGTGAAACCCTGTCTCTACTAAAAATACAAAAATGAGCCAGCATGGTGGTGCACGCTTATAGTTCCGGCTACTCAGGAGGCTGAGGCACGTGAGAATCTCTTGAATCCAGGAGGCAGAGGTTGCAGTGAGCCAAGATGGTGCCATTGCACTCCAGCCTGCGCCAGAGACTCTGCCTCAAGCAAAATAAAATAAAAAGAAATAAAGGGAAGGAAGGAGAGAGAGAGAAAGGGAAAGAGAAAGAAAGAAAATCAGATCCTTGGGCAGCACAGCCCACTGCAGAAGGTGGGAAGAAATAAAGAAAGAGGGGCCAGGCATGGTCGCTCACACCTGTAATCCTAGCACTTTGGGAGGCCAAGGTGGGTGGATCACCTAAGGTCAGGAGTTTTATATCAGCTTGACCAACATGAAGAAACCCTGTCTCTACTAGAAATGAAAAAAAAAAATAGCCAGGCGTGGTGGCACATGCCTGTAATCCCAGCTAGTGGAGAGGCCGAGGCAGAAGAATTGCTTGAACCCGTGAGGCGGAGGTTGCAGTGAGCTGAGATTGTGTCACTGCCCTCCAGCCTGAACAACAACAGTGAAACTCTGTAAAAAAAAAAAGAAAGAAAGAAAAAAAGAAGAGAGAGGGAGAAAGAGAGGGAGGGAAGGGAGAGAAAGGAAGGAAGAAAGAAGGGAAGAAAGGAAAGAGAAAGAAGGAAGGAAGGAAAGAGCGAACAGGAAACAAAATGAAGTGGAAATTACAGGAATTATGGTTATATGATTTTTTTTTTTTTTTTTGAGACGGAGTTTCGCTCTTGTTACCCAGGCTGGAGTGCAATGGCACGATCTCGGCTCACCGCAACCTCCGCCTCCTGGGTTCAGGCAATTCTCCTGCCTCAGCCTCCTGAGTAGCTGGGATTACAGGCACGCACCACCGTGCCCAGCTAATTTTTTGTATTTTTAGTAGAGACGGGGTTTCACCATGTTGACCAGGATGGCCTCGATCTCTTAACCTCTGATCCACCCGCCTCGGCCTCCCAAAGTGCTGGGATTACAGGCGTGAGCCACCGCGCCCGGCCTTTTTTTTCCTTTTGTCTGAGACAGGGTCTGGCTCTGTCACCCAGGCTGGAGAGCAGTGGCACAATCTCCGCTCACTGCAGTGGGATAAGCATATTTCTGTCTGTGAAGTCAGTGGGGCACGTGATCCCAAGCTCAAGTGATTCTCCTACCTCAGCCTCTGTAGTAGATGGGACCACGGTGTGTGCCACCACACCTGGCTCATTTTTATATCTTTTCTGAGACTGGGTCTCACTATGTTGCCTAGGTTGGCCTTGAACCTCAGTTTGAGCAAGCTTCTCTCCTCAGCCTCCGGAAGTGCTGGGATTCAAAGCACTTGGCCCACTCCTGCCCCCGCCCCCGCCCCCAGGCAAAGATTCAAGTCCCCTGTAACGTGCACTATCTTCCTGCTCACGAATCAGCCCTCTTCTTGTCTGAATTTCCACCAGACCGTGAATGGGGACCTCATCTCTGTGGCTCACGCAACTGGCTCCACAAATGGCTGTGGGACCAGCGTGTTTCCGTCTGTGACATTAATGGGGCACGTGGACAGGGGGTCTTTGGTTCTGAAATTTGTTAGGGTGGACGATTCTTCTGGGTTTGCTCTTTCTTGCACTCCACACCGCCACAGGGCGATGGTCAGGACACCGTTGACCTACGCGTTCTGCCCTCGGGAGCGCACTTGTGCGCGGGGAAACTGGCTGACCGGTGGCCACGGGGTGAGGCGTGAGCAGCTCAGACTAGAATAGAAGGTCTAAATTTAAACGGTGACTGGAGGCTTTAGAGAGCAGGCCCTCCAGGCGGCAGCTCGCCCCGCCCGCGGCCACACCCTCCCGCGCCCTCCCAGAGTGGAAACTGTTTCTTCCTGGCTGCTGAGAACCGGTTTCCTCCCAAGGAAATAACGTCTCACCGCAGCTGTGGCAGGAGCTGCCCTCTGGAATTTCCCTGCAGCGATGAAACACCCTCCTGGCTGAGCTGCTATGAGATGGGACACGCCTAGAGCCTGCCAGTGCACAGCCCAGAGGGAGACACACCCAGAGACGCACAGATATAAACAGAAACACTGGAAACCCTCCCCAGGAGCGGCCGGGCCGCGGGGACCCTGGTGAAGCCGCTGCAGCCCTGGCTCTGCCCCGGTTCCTGCCCCCTGTGCTGCGAGCGTGGGTCGGCTCCTCTTCCTGAACCCCTGTTTTCACCTCTACAGTATTGAGAGAGATCTTTTAAAAATCAAAATAGAACGGAACTTCAAAGGAATAATCCTAGAAAGTTCTGTGATTATTTCAAAGATGTTGCTTTCACTGTTCAAAATACGTTATTTTTAAAGTAGTTCATATTTTATTTTAAGACAGGGTTTCACCATGTTGGTCAGGCTGGTCTTGAACTCCCGACCTCAGGTGATCCGCCCGCCTTGGCCTCCAAAGTGCTTGGAGTACAGGCGTGAGCCACTACCCCCGGCCTAAAGTCTTTTTTTTTTTTTTTTAAAAAAAAAACTTCTTTTCAGGGCTGAACATAGTGACTCACGCCGGTAATCCCAGCACCTTGGGTGGCTGAAGCAGGAGGATCACTGTAGGCCAGGAGTTCAAGATCAGCCTGGGTAACACATACGGAGACCGCCCTCCAGCCCATCTCTACAAAAAATTAGCTTTTCATGATGGCATAAGCCTGAAGGTGGGAGGGTCACTAAAGCCGCGGCGGTCAAGGATGCAGGGATTGCACCACTGCCCTCCAGCCTGGGCCACAGTGAAACACTATCTAAACAACAAAAAAAAATTCTGACCGGGCGTGGTGGCTCATGCCTGTAATTCCAGTACTTGGGGAGGTTCGAGCCAGTAGATCACTTGAGATCAGGAGTTTGAAACCAGCCTGGCCAACATGGTGAAACCCCCATCTCTACTTAAAAATACAAAAAAATTAGCTGGGCATAGTGGCGCATGCCATTAATCCCAGTAGTCTCGAGGTTGAGGTAGGAAAATTGCTTGAACCTGGGAGGTGGAGGTTGCAGTAAGCTGAGATCGAGCCATTGCACTCTAGCCTGGATAACAAGAGTGAAACTCCACCTCAAAAAAAAAGGTGTGGCGGCTCACACCTGCAATCCCAGCACTTTGGGAGGCCCAGGTGGGTGGATCACAAGGGTGTGTGCCTATAGTCCCAGCTACTTAGGAGGCTGAGGCAGAATTGCTTGAACCCAGGAGGTGGAGGCTGCAGTGAGGTGAGATCGCACCACTGCACTCCAGCCTGGGTGACAAAGTGAGACTACGTCTCAAAAAAAAAAAAAAAAAATTTCCGGCTGGGCACGGTGGCTCATGCCTGTTAATCCCAGAACTTTTGAAGGCCAAGGCCGGAAGATCACTGGAGGTTGGGAGTTCAAGACCAACCTGACCAACATAGAGAAACCCCATCTCTACTAAAAATACAAAATTAGCTGGGTGTGGTGGCAGGTAATCCCAGCTACACAGGAGGCTGAGACAGGAGAATCGCTTGAACTTGGGAAGAGGTTGTGGTGAGCCGAGCTCGTGCCATTTTACTCCAGTCTGGGCAACAAGAGCAAGACTCCATCTCAAAAAAAAAATTCATTTCAGAACCTGTTTTTGGAACATACAAGTCGGCCTTGGCACATTTCCAGGCATTTTGTTTTTGTCTTGAGTGATCATTACCCTTGGTACCAAGACACTTCATGCTGGTTCCAAACAATGAATTTAAAAGATTCCTGTAAACCAGGCACAGTGGCTCATGCCTGCAATCCCAGCATTTTCGGAGGGCTGAGGCGGGTGGATCACTTGAGGCCAGGAGTTTGAGACCAGCCTGGCCAACATGGCAAAACCCCGTCTCCACTAAAAATACAAAAATGAGTTGGGCATGGTGGTGGGTGCCTGTAGTTCCAGCTACTTGGGGGGGCTGAGACAGGAGAACCACTTGAACCCGGGAGGTGGAGGTTGTAGTGAGCGGAAATGGCACCATTGTACTCCAGCCTGGGCAATGGAGACTCTCAAAAAAAAAAAAAAGACTACTGAGAAGGGTCTGGCAAATGCGGTCACTGTAGCCACATCCACCCAATGCTCAAAGCTGGCCCCCAGAGGGGGACAACCGCCCTGGATGGTCAAGCTCCACTTTCTAAACTTCTCAGCCATGAGCAGGGTCCTGGTAGAGCCTTGAACAGCCCAACACTCGGACACAGAATGCACGGGAGCGCGCGCGCGCGCGCGCGCACACACACACACACACACACACACGCGGCCAAATGGAAACTTCCCATTTCAGCCACAACCCCTAGAGGCAGCAGTGTGGCAGGTCCCCAGCCACACCTCCTGGGCTTATGTTCGCCCTGGGACTGTAGGGCAGAGGCTATCCCAGATGGATCAGGTCGTGGTGGCCACAGCCCTGGATGCCCGCTATGCCGGCTCTGACTCAGGCTCCAGGAGTAGAGCGAATTCTAAGGGGACAGACACACACTGGGTTGCTGGGCAACAGAGCAGTAGCGCACAGGGACGC